ATATATATATTTAGATTTAAATGTTCGTTTTTATTCCGTTTTCAAGATTAATTTGAAGCGTTAATCTCTCCGCTCTCCTTTAAGATAAAGACCAGTCTGGGAATGAAAACATTAAACTGACGGAGCGCGGAGGGGTTTATTGAGGCCTGCGGGGCGGGGGTGGGGGGAGGTGTTTGCCGGTTTCTGACAGTCTTCACTCCGTCCCTAAGCAGACCCCGTGACGGTGCGGCAGGCCCCGCACCGGAACCACGTCCACAAGCAGTCGGAGAAGACGACGCGGGTCCGGACGGTGCTGAACGAGAAGCAGCTGCACACCCTGCGGACCTGCTACAACGCCAACCCGAGGCCGGACGCGCTGATGAAGGAGCAGCTGGTGGAGATGACCGGCCTGAGCCCCCGGGTGATCCGGGTCTGGTTCCAGAACAAGCGCTGCAAGGACAAGAAGAAGTCCATCCTGATGAAGCAGCTCCAGCAGCAGCAGCACAGTGATAAGACTGTAAGCATCTTCGTAAGTTGGGCCGCTTGATTTCCTCTCTACAAACACAGTTTACTCCACTTGTTCTCACTTTTAGCTCAACTTTTACAGACTTTATCATGTTTTGGAACTGCTTAGCTTAAAAAAACTAAAATAAAAAAAAAGTTCCTGCAGCATTTGTCCCACCTATTTAAAAGATGAAATTACGCACAAAGACGCAGCTTTGGAATGACAAGTTTTTCAGAAAAACAAACCCAAAAAAATCAAAACAATAAAGTTTAATTTGATGTATCTTTTATAATTTTTTTCTCCAGAATCTCCAAGGCCTCACAGGGACGCCTCTTGTGGCCGGAAGTCCCATCCGACATGAGAGCACCGTGCAGGGGAACCCGGTGGAGGTCCAGACCTACCAGCCTCCGTGGAAAGCGCTGAGTGAATTCGCTCTCCAGAGCGACCTGGACCAGCCAGCTTTTCAACAACTGGTGGGTCTATCTATCTATCTATCTATCTATCTATCTATCTATCTATCTATCTATCTATCTATCTATCTATCTATCTATCTATCTATCACTTAGACGCACAGAGGCGTTTTTTGTCTCCAAAGCGCACATCATCATTACGCATCAGTGTTTTTAAAATACCCCCCACCCCCCCAATATACACACACGTGACACTTTATTTCCCTCTCTTCAGGTGTCCTTCTCTGAATCGGGCTCTCTCGGGAACTCCTCGGGCAGCGACGTGACGTCCTTGTCCTCTCAGTTACCGGACACCCCGAACAGTATGGTCCCCAGCCCGGTGGAGACGTGAGACCATGATGGTGGTGGTGGTGGGGTGCTGCACCCCCCCCCCCCCTCCTCCCTTTCTCCGTCACATCCTACCAAACACCCAGATTTTTCTGCAAGGACAGTTTGCAGCATGGTCCTCCCTCCCCCCACCTCCCCACCCCTCCTGTCCTCCTCCATCCTCCCTGCATGTTGACCAGCTCATCACGTCACCCGAACTTCCAACTGGAGGGCTTTTTTTTCTCTCCCTGACATGGAGGAGAAGGAACAAAGAGAACACCGAATTTTTTTTGTTTATTTTTCTGACATCTCTTTGACAAAAAACTTAGCAGAACAATTGATGCATGACTTGATGAGGAGAACAAAGATGTACAGAAGAGCTCCAAATGGATTTTACTACAGCGAACCTCAGAAAACAAAAACACACAAAAAAAGGAAATCCTTTTCCATGTTGCTCCATGTGGACTCTGCCATTTCAGTGTGATCATACTGTGTCTCGTTTTCTTCTACATGACAATTTTTTGATACGTTGTTCCGGGTCCAGTTGACTCTTTTTTGTTGTCTTATAAGGTCAGAGCATGATAGTCTGCAAAGTGTTGGTGTTGTAAAATATCTGATGAGGGCCACAGACAAGGTTTGAGCTTCTCGAACAAAAAGTAAATTATTGTTATATATTATTTATTGTTAGGAAAGCGATTCGTTCAAAAAGAGTATTACCTGAGAAAATAAAAAAATACAAGCTGAGTACATGACGTCTTTATGACCTGTTTTTCTAACCCTGAATTTGGATTTTCTTTTAAAATAATCTGATGCGTTCATGGAGACAAATTTAGCCCAGAATTAAACAAACAGGTTATTATTCCTAATTTTGCAAATTGAGAAGCAGAGATAAATCAGGGCCGTGTTTGTTGGGGTGAGGGGTGAGGGGGGAGACTTCTTTCCCCGGTTGAAGCATTCATTGCGCGCGGAACATCCAGTTCGGCCCGTCCGTGCAGCTCCAAACTGGCCCCACCTTGAAGCCGCGCGCGCGCTATCAGCTCGCTCCATCTCGTGGTGTTGTTGAGGCTGGAAGCGGCCAGCGGTCATTTATCTCCGGGGCAAAAGGAAAAGAAAAACTACCGTAAATTCTGCTCAGTCCTGTTCCTCCCGTTGAGTCACAAGCCGAGTCTAGACAGCGCGCGGGGATCGGCGACCTCTTATCTGGTCCTGGCATCACCTGCAAGCGATACACTGACCGAAGGCACAACAAACTACCCCCCCCCACCCACACACACAGTGAGGGGCTACAAAGAGCAGCTGGTAATAGGGTCACCTCTCCTCTGCAGCTTTATTTTCTTTTCCAAGGCTTGCGTTATTACGCACGGGTCATCCGGGATCAGGACTGACCTGCTTCAGTCTGCAGGACACGTTTCAACTGTTGCTAAACTCATTCTCACTTTTTTTTACTCAATATGCTCATGATTTAGGTTTGCTTTGAGGAAACCACGTCTTTCTTTGGTTTTATTTATTTTTAAATGAAAACGAGTTTATTTTCGTCATGCAGCCCTTTGATTTAAAACAGTGATTTCTGCAGGAAATATGCTGACGTCATGAGTAGATATTTAGAGATTATTTTCATTTGTTTGAGCTATTGCCAGCGTCTGAACTAAAATCTCGTATGACAAAAGGCAGATTATATATTTGTAACTGAGCTTTTCGAACACAAAGGAACAACGATGCGCCGCAGATTAAGATAAGGCAGATAAGAAAACAAACAATGGTCTCTACAAACAACAACTACTCACGGCCTGTTGACTCTGCACAAAGTCAGCACGGGATCAAATATAAACCATCAAACGCATGGATTCAAATCTGCTTTTCTCCCCCATTTTAGTCACAAAAACATTTAACTTGGATGAAAATAGAACGATCAGCTCTCCAGAGAAAAATCGACAAACTTTATTTATTATTATAGAAACGTTTAAGGTTTATTTCGTTTAATTTAAAATATGTTAAACATAATTATTTTAAAACATGAAAAA